ATAACGAATAATAAAAATACATTACGGATGCATAGATTATCATCCGTTTTGACAACGACCAATTGGTGTACACCATTACTTGAATTTGCGTGGCACAACAGAGAATAACAGTGATGTTACCTACAACCACGTTCGATTTCCAACGCGAGGTTGGGTGCGCTAGTTCGACTTGGATCGTCTCCTTGGTCAGGCAGTGTAGCAGGCCAAAGGAACAACGATGATGATGATGATGATGGTGTTTAGCTCTAGAGGAAATTACGGACACTTGGTAATGCTGACCACTTTTCATATCATCACAAAAACCGACCGAACCTAAGAAAACGACTGAGCGGTGAGCAACAGATAATGCTCCATCAGTCCATGAAAGAGCATCGCATTTAACTACCCAGATGAGTTTGTTTCTTCATGCTACCATGCGGCTCGGCGATAGTGAGAGATAGCTATTAAAATCCAACATAAACCATTCCGTTGCCCCCACCACCGCTGGTGTTGGTGTTAACAACACGCCAAGTTGCTAATGCATCTAAGATGAATGGGAACAAATGAGGATCGGTCGAGCACAGCGTCCATGAGTGGAAGAACAGTTCAAATGTAGGTGCGTGATTATGACATTTCGGTGATTCACAACTCGGGAAGCTGAAACCATTGTGATCAGGGAGCACACTCACACACAAAAGCATACACGGAAGTAAGCGAGGATAAGTGGACTAAACCAAGACTGGAAGCTACTTCAAAATTTAGTGCAAGAACACACACACAAACAGAAGGCAGGACATTCCGGATAGACACTACAGAAACAACAATAATGAGCAAATGAGCAATCGTCGTAGGTTTAGCTAACTAAATAGTGCATTCGCAATTAACCCGTTACAAAAACGAGATGGGGGAGGCACAATAATCGCGAAGAGTTGGGGATCGAATAAAACGGAGTGTAACAAGTAGAGGCCCAAACAAAGTGAAAAATGTGCTGCTGCTATAGCTAGTTGGCAATGGCGATAACGTACGTAGCATTTCACCCGTATCTCGCTCAGTGGGTGTTAGACATGCAATTGAATTGCCAAGATCTACATTTGTGTCAACCAAACTGACAGGAATGACTATACACACAAAAGGAGACATAAATATATATAGATATATATATATATGCACACAATTAGTATTAACAATGTATGCACAAGATCGCACAGCAAGCGGCACATAGAGGCACAAACACACACACAGGCACACATAAAATAATCAGTTACGGGGTTCACGGGATGGACAACACGATACAGCACAAAGTGGGCGAGGAAGGGTGTGGAGGGAGGGGGTGTTTGCAGCCCGGAGGGAAGGGATGGGAAACCACAGTGAACAGCGTGGAGAGAAAGGAAAAAGACAACAAGAAAATGGGGTCAACAAATGCACGCATAACATAGTTGGATTTGTGGTATGCAAGCACTTCATGGTCCGTTACAGTTGCTAACCTTGGTATTCAGAAAAAAGAACCAAGAAACGTAGATCGAACCACACTCAGTAGCGGAGGACGAACGACGTTTTTGTGAACAGTAGTACTGTGGCACATGGAGATGTAATAGCAGACAAACGGACACACAAATATAGATAGACAACACTCGAACATGAGACCTGTCCACAGACGCCGTATCATGTCTAGCCAGACAGGAAATTACGCGATGACAAGCTGAATGTCTTCTGTGAATGTATATGTGTATAACCAAGTTTATCGCCAGCACTATCGAGGGACTGACTAAATGTGAGTGAAACCGGTGTCATTCAGCCTAATCAATAGACACAATTTAGGCTACTTACGTATCGGTGCACGGATGAATTGATGCCTTGGCTTCAGTAACGAATTGCTGGAACTCATCACTTCCTTTGGAACTGCTTTCTTAGCTTCCACCTGACACGGACGGCGTGAAAAGAGAAATAAAAATACCACTCAATATAAACAAGCCAGTTCGATTAAAAATTGAATTATATGGTGTGGTTTCTGCCCAAAAATGTATCTTAATTCTAGCGGAATGTACAACCACCAGGCAACGAATTAATCATGAGTAAGAAAAAAGCATACAGAAGATTGCAAATCTTTTTAGAGCGCGGAGGGAACAGAAGTTTCAAAACACGTGAATGGATGAATAGATGTTCGGTTCGAAGTGTACGATGTCAAACTATTTCCGTCGGGATGAAAAACAACAAGCAATTATCAAAAGATTTATTTCTTACCCAGCAGCATTATGGGAGCGAATTAATGTGAAATCTGTCACTGCAGCATTCCAGGATGTAATAACCAAACAACTATATTGTTAATTAATATCGCGAATTGAGTGTAAATGCTAAACGGCACCAAAATTCTTTTTCAGTGCCTAAAGTTGCCCAGGGGAAATTTTTACTGGGACATGGGCCAGATATATGAGGTTACGGAGTTCACCGGTGACCTAGCGTCCGTTTGAGGTTACTACCGCTTTTCCTGCTGCTACGCACTCTTACTAACAAGGATACGACTGGTAATAATGCTCTACGGAGAAAAAATATTTAGCACTGCTGTTTCTGTATAAGAAAGATGGCATTAGGATTATTGCTCCCTGCTTCTGTTGAACTGGCTGACTGGTTAGTTGGTCAAAACCGCGCTGGGGGAACAAGCCGGACCGGAGATTATGAGGAAAGAAGTGGATCCTTGGTGGTTAGGTAGGAAAGGTTACCAAACGATCAACCCGGAGGACGTGTGTTCGAATCCCGCTACCAACACCCAACTTCCCTATTGGATAGCAGCTATTTGACTGGACGCTTCCCTCTTCTTGAAAATGGTATTGTATATTTATTAAAAGGAGGTAAAATGAAAAAAATACGAACAAATGCTCACCATTTTATTATGAAGGTCATGGAAGTGAATTTCACACACTTTCTCGGCCGCTTCTTCCGATTCGAATGTGACAAACCCAAAACCTATAACAGATAGGGCGAAGCAGATGAAAGACAATTAAATACTTGACGTGTATGCATTTGATTAGACACATAATCCCTGACAAGTGTGAATTACAGTTATAAGAAGCAAGACGTTCATTATTTGGATTAGGGAAACTTACCATTAACTAGGGATAGGTTGAAGGAGTTCGGTCGGTTGTAGCCCGCTCCATGAGGTGTGGAAAACATGATGTTTGTCATGCAAGAAATGAAGTTGCACGCAATGAAGCTGGTAAATCAGTGTCGCTTTGTCTCACCGGCTAGCCACAGAGTTGACTAATTAGAG